TCATGACAGCTGTTCTTAGTTGAAATGTCACTCATTCGACCATCCTATATGTACTTAACTCTAATTTACAGCTAGGTTGTTAGCAGTTTATTTTCTAATAATGGCAAAATTCCTACAAAATTTATAAAATCTCTATAGAAAGTATTCTAATTAATATTCGGAGGAGAAATTCAATTTCTTAAAATCTGGAAAAATTTTTAATTTTCAAAATTCTAAGAAAAAATTTCTTTGGAATCTAAATAATGGTTTATAGAATTCGAGAATTAAAACGTTTTTTCGTCGTCGACAGCCATCGACAACGCAAAAAACAACATTGCTAAAAAAAATTGTCTTCATTATAAATATTTTTGCTAAGTCTAAAATAAATTTTTTCTTCTTAGAAAATTATTTAATTTTACCATTAAAATAGACTTCGTCTTAAAGTTTATCAACTATTTCCTAATTATTCTTGATTTATGGTTTAATTTTGTGATTTTATGAACAATCACTGACAAAATCAAATTTTGTGATCAAATAATAATACCCTGATTTTGTCGGCTTCGCTCATTTAATTCACTTGATTAGAGTAAGCCCTTTCACTAAGGTAACTCGAGCAGCCACCCAGATATCATTTCTACTTCAGTTTGCTTCTATCACCGGACATGGTAACGTATCTCCATTCCCAATAATCATGAAATATTTAAAAATATACATCAAGAAATGGTGAGAAATGTTGGCCGGCCATTCATTTATTTAGACTTCAGTTAAGATATATATTAAATTTTTAATGTTTGAGTGGAACGACAAAGCCACATTGGTAATTATACGACCAGACTGTTTTGTCGATATTTATGATGGAGCGAACTTGACTAACAGTCATCGTTATCTTGGCGGTGAAACGAATGAGCATAATCGCTATGAGCTGTCGTGGTACTCGTTTGCAAATCGAACGAGTTCTTATGCTTGTGATTGCATAAACTAATTATCGCTTCTAAAATATTTTTTTTTGCTGCATTGTACGTAAATTTATTCATTGACCATTTTCCATTTTAATATGAATTTGAAAATATCACGAATCGTTTTCGTTAAGGCAAACAAACTGTTCTAACAGTATTCACCATTTTCTGGTTAGTTTTTCTGACTCAAATGAAACTCTTTTTGGGCCATCGCTTAAGGAAAAATATACAACTGGTTGACCATTTAGGTTTTAGCTTCAGTAACAACAGAGTTACGTCCGTTAAAAGATCAGACATATTGTAAATTATTGTTGAACTATAAAATCTTTGAAGAAATGCTGAAAAATTGAAAAAACTGCAAGAAAGAATTTCTGTTTCCATTATTTAAATTATTTTGTTTTGCTTTTGTCGTTTTTCTTAATAGATATACTTTATTTTGTCAATATTTTTATTATCGTTTAATTGTCGTATCGTTGAAATAAGTAAAATTTAAAATTTTATGTCGCAACTTTATAAATGATAACTACAAAAAATTATTTATTCGTCTATACATAATTATAAAGGAAATTTAAAACGAGTGAGTAGTGCACCTCGCATATCGGTGAATATTTCGTCGAAACATCTGCTCATTCATCCATCCATCCATCCATCCATCCATCCATTCATTCATACAATTCATCCCGTTTCCGTATCAGTTGTCGTTCGTTGTTTGCCTTTGTGGAACCTCATATATGATGATGACCAACGATCAAATCATTAATAATATACGCTTCATTCGCCTTCTTCATTCTTTCGTTCTGCATCTGTTTCGATGCTCCATTATTTTTTCAAGTGCCGTTCTTCTTTGTAGATTGTCATCATCATTATCATAAATATACGCACAAACGACGTAAAAATATTCTAAAATAATTCAAAAATACATCATCGACGCAAAAAAAAACATTTTCAAAATTTAATTTCTTTTAAAAGTATCGAAAATGAAATATCGTAAAAAATTTTCGGCAAATAAATGGTCCTTAAATAATTTTGCTACGTTTATTTGAGAAGAGATAACCAAAATTTATCACAGAATTGATGATTGAAAATAAAAATTTATTATTATTGCTAAATTATATATTTGCAATAATATAGGATTGGATAGGCGCAGATTTCCCTTGAGAGTTTATAAGTTCAAATCGCTTCTGAATATATCGGAATTGGCCAGAGTACCGTTAAGCTATACGCGAACACCTCGACTGATCCGATGAAATATTCAACGAGCATTCCTTAAAGGATTTTCCTTTTTCCCCTTCTAACTCTCAGGTAGCCGATTGGGTAAGACGTGACAAAGATAAGACGTCTCCAAGCTGTAGAATCCGACACCATCGCCAACTGCTCACCACAACTTAAGTTTCTTGAATCCATCCCACATTTTTGAATGTATTCATAAGTGTTCTAATCTAATCGAATAAATAAATATAAATATCGAATAAATATGACCATTATAAATCACTAATTTAAAATTAATTGAAACTAAAATATGTAAAATATGTAAAATCTTAATTGTTTCCATAAAACTCTTCGCTAATTTCATATATTTTTGGATAAAAAAATGTAAATTTCTGCAAAAATTTAATTTTTTAAATATTTTAAATTAGAAATTTAAACTTAATTTAAATTCAAAAAATTTTAATTTCCATTTAATTTAATTTCCAATTGTCAAATTTGCAATAATTAAAAGTAATTAAATGATTAAAATTGTTTCAATAACTTGACTTGACTAAAAATTATTTTCACTTTTAAATTATATTCATAGTAAAGGAATGTTTTATATTGAAGAAAAAAGAAATCAAAATGATTCCAAAAATACCGAAGCTGTTAGAATATTTATTAACAATAAAAAACAAAAAAGTACAAAAAATATTTTTAATTCTGATTAAAGCCGCCTGCGGTCATTCTTGTTTTTTCAAGAACAAATCGTGGAATATAAATAAGTATATATAATATTGTAGTTAGGAAGAAAATTTAAGAAATCTAAGAAATCCAAATTCTAATAAAAATAATAATAACAATGATGATAATATTAATAATAATTGATAACGATAACAGAAAAAATAAATGTTAAATTGTTTAATAACCAAATGAGGGAACGAAAAATCGCGGCAAAGCCGGGTCCAAGCAAACGACAATATAGAGAAATCCTATTAAAACATCGGACGTAAACACAATACGGACAATCTCTTATATATTAATATATATCAAAAACATAAAACAAAAATATTATAAAATATAAAATATTCTTTATCGATATTATTATTACTATTATTATTAATACTATTATTGCTATTATCATTATAATTATTACTTCACAGACTTTTAAGAAGGAAATAAAAAACAATCTATGTGGAACTTAAAAGACAAATATTATAAAATGCAAGGAAATAAAGCAAAAATGATGTTGAGAAAAATTCGAAATTTGAATTTCACTTTGCTAAAACTAATTTTCGAAATCATCATAATTCATAATTAATTAATAACTTAACTTTTAACTAACCATTTACTCCTCCTCTCCCTGGTACGTCTATTCCCCTCTCCAACGGCCTTACGCCCCATCTCCTCCCTTTAATAAAATGATTTCATAAATCTTCAAATATATTTATATATATATATACTCAAAACTAAATGGAAGTAAAAATTTAAACGACGAAAAAATGAGGTAAACGGAATGAAAGAAATTAACGTTAAAACGATGACGGTAATTTAAAAAAATTTTGAAAAAAATTTCGAAATAAGAAAAAATTTTCCAAACGGAAAAATTTTTTCCCAAAAAAACCTACCATGCTTTATAAGAGATTTTGTATTTATAAAAGAAATTTTAGAAAAATAAAAACCTATGTTTGAATTTTGGATTTAAACGAATTTTAACGATGTACTTTTCAACAAATCACTTTCTAATTTTATTTTGATTTTTGATTTTCGTATATGGCAAATATATTTAATTTTAAACCAATATTCCTTTAACGAATATGCATAAACACCTTTTACGATTACAGCAACTATTATTCTTATCATTATTAGTGCCGATACCACCGTTATCTACTGTTACTATTTATCTTAATATTAATATTATTAGTTTATTAACATAATGTCTTTATAAAATATTTAACATTATTATTTGTTATCACTGATTACCATCAATTACCATTATTATCGAATTTACTAATATACTATTATCACTGTTATCCATTTTATTATTTTTATTAATAATGTTACTGCAAACAGTATATTCACAGTTATTTTCAACATTACTAATATTACTACTATTCTTAACAATATAATAATAATAATAATAATAATAATAATAATAATAATAATAATAATCATAGCACTGTCATTATTTTGATATTATATTATCTTTATAACAAATTTTTATTATTATAATACTATTTATAATATACATGAAGAAGGCGAATAGCTTCATAAACTTTATTATAATTTAATTTAATTAAACACTATCAGAATTAATTAAAACAGTAAAGGAAAAAAATTCGGAAAACCAATTTTTTTATCACCGAAAAATGATGGAACATCATTTTCACAACAAAAATCATTTATTACTTTTTTTTCTTGTTCATGCTCTTGTTCAATAACTGGAAGGCCATTTTACAAAATCGAAATTACTCACAGAATGACTTCTATCTCTAAAAAAGTCCTGAGCAAACTGCTAAGGAGTTGTCTGCATTTCCTCTAAATTTAAATTTAATATATATTTCCGGTCAATCAAGCCTAAGCCACTGGCAATCTGGCTCATATTTTTCGTAAAAAATAAGGGTTAACTTCATTATTATGCAAAAAACACTTCTAAAAACAAGAGAAAGAGAACCAAAAAATTTTCATCAATGAATTTTTTATTTTCCACAAATTTTTTACTGCTCAAATTTGCAATTTTCTCAAAAATTTTTCGCTTTTTTCAATGAAAAATTTTTGTTATTTTTGTTTATCCAGTGAAGAAAATTTTGATAAATTTCACCTATGCATCCATAAAATAATAAAGTACAAAGAAGAAAAACCGTTTCGTGCGTAAAATTACCGAACAGTATATCTGGATGAGAAAATTTTTTCCGGAAAGCACATTTCTTTTTCATTAAAATCATTCATTCCATTAGAGAATTCTCTTGAAAAAGAATCTTTCGTATTTGAAGGTGCCATAAATTTTTTGCATGAATTATCTTTATCCTCTTCATTTCCTTCATCTTCATCATTATTATCCACAATAATCTTATAAAAATTATTCTCATCATCATCATCATCATCATCATCACTCTCGTTTCTTTTACGTTTATTCTGAAAATTATTTCCATTTTTCAGCCAAATTTAGAAAACCAGTTAAAGTATAAGCAAAAATTTAAAGAAAAACAGGAAAAATAGTTAATAAATAAACCTTATAATTACTTGTTGGTGGCGATGAACTTAAGTAACCCGAATCATTATGCATATTTTCACTTCGTATGATTATATTTGAATTTAATGAAAATGCACATTTAAGAAAATCAGGAAAATCCTCGATTTTTCGATTTAAATATGTAAATACTTGCCACTATAACATACTAATTAACTTATTTTAATAATTGTCAGTAGTGATAAAAATAATATCAATAATAATAATAAAAATTGATGAATATTATTACTTCCGTTATAAAAAATTCGACTATCAACTATCAAATCAATTAGAAAAACAGAAAATAAAAAAATAAGCAAAAAAAAGGAAAACTTACAGCATTAATTCTAAGTAAATAAAAAGCATTAATAATAGGGATATGATGGATTTGTTGTGCGTAATCAATTGCAATGATAAGCAAACATATTGACGCTTGTAATGACGGTAGTATGTAGGCCAACATGAAATCTGCAAGAAAAATTTTATTTTCAAAAAAAAAAATTCGAAAAAATGCGAAATGATTCGACATCGAGTTGCATTCTTTCACCAATTAATTTATCATTATATAGGCAAAACAACCCAGCGATAGTCGTTCAGATTATTGATTACTCCATCAGCAATAATATAGGAAAATTAGAAAATCCAAGTGGTGCTGCTGGCCCTCTTGTGCTATCGTCAAGTAATGGTAAAATTCCTCACCGTTTATTAAATACTTAGCAGACAATGGAGCGAGTTTGACCAGAAACTGTGTAAATTCAATTGTGTGATCATTTTAAAATCATTCTTCCTCTTGATATCATTTTAAAAATATCACTGCCAATAATAATAACTCTTAACGATGGTAAATTTATTCTTGCTAATGGACAGGAATTGAATACAGCTGCTAATTCTAAGCCGAAGCAACATACCAGTATCTTCTCATGCAAACATATGAGTCATCAGGCAGAAGAAATATGAGAAAGAAATATTAAGGGTTGAAAGATGAACTAGGGAAAATGAAATGAAGTGGTTTTAACGCATAAACTGGAAAAATGGCTGCAACAGATCCCAGAAACGACATCTTCGCCCAGAACAGCACGCTACTAAAAATGGCTAAGATACTGCAGAACTCTCAGATCTCGAATTCCCAGACCTCTATAACATTCGAGGGTTTGAGGATGACCCATATCACTCGCACAAAGCAATGAAAATATTTACACATATATTTAAGCATTTTAAAAGAGAAAACGATGCGAGCAATCGAGTAGGCAATCACTAATTTATGTTTCATCAACTTCATCTAGAATGTTTTAGGAATTTAAGGTCTATTTATAAGAAACCATGCACAACATGAACTTGCTATTAGTGATAAGCTGAAAAAAGAAAATTTAATACGATTAAATTTTCCTTTCTGAATTCAAATATCAATCCAAATTTTTACTTTTGCTCGTCAAACAATAATACAACCGATTCTTCCAACATTTCAGGATAAGGCGAAATAGAAGGCAGCCGAGTGGATAGCAATTTAGATTGTTGAAAATCTGCCAATTAAAAAAATCCGGCTGGCCAACTTGAGCAAATGACTCATTGGCAAGCAGAGATAATCTAACCAGAAATGATTAGCGCTAAAGGCTTACATTTCACTTCCTTCCTGGATTGATTGCTTCTGATAAATATTAAAAAGATCCCCTCGCCGTAAAGTCATGCGAGACTAGAAGTGCAGATAGGCCCTCAGCACCATCCCCATTTCACTCTTTAATGATCGCTTTGCTTTTGCCAAGCGACAGAAGTCATACCCATGGTCATTGATCTCATTAGAAAATACATATAAAAACAATGTCAGCATACTTCTGATACCACACTTATTTTTCTCATCCAATCCCTCATTTCAATTTATTTTGAAATAATAGCGAAGAAAGAACGAGCAATCTTAAAATCCGCGCTTTAAAATTCGATTTATTTGTTTAAGCCCCGAATGTGGATAAACTTTTCGCTTACATAAACTGTTTTCGCATCGTTTACTTCGGAATAGGCAAAGGGTCGTCGAGTAAGGGATTCTCACACGTTGATATAGTTAGTATTCTAGCGAAATAGTCTCATCTTAATAATCAATGAGGTCGGCAACGATGAGCGTAACTGGAAAAAAACTGCTCCGCTAAAGCATTTATAAAGTTAGAAAGATAGCACGCTGACGAATTTTATCATATTTATCGTATTAATTTGGACTTTAATCTACAGTCGACCTTTAACCTTTATTCTAAACCTTCCCAAAAAGTTTTTTCCAATTTTTGCCTAATCATAAAATATTTGTTTTGTTATAAGAATTATGCATTAGCAATTCGGTATAAAATAAAAATGTCTTCAAAAAATAATTCATCCTTGAAAATTATAAATTAAAATCGTCCGTCCCTCGGTAGCCCCCCATCGTTCTCATCATTACTTTTTCTCTTATAATATTCTAACAGGACCGATCGGACGATCCCATACCACCCACTCAAATTTTTCATACTAGAAAACTATCTATCTATCTATTATCTATACATACCACTCTCTTTTTACCTTTTAACTGATAAAATCTCAATAAATTCATATCATTCTCTTTGCAATTTTTTCCAAAAGTAAAGACAGATCAACTCAACTGATAAGATTTTTAATGAAAAACTCCTTAAATATTCAATTTTCTTATGCAGTAAAATTGTTAGCTTATTTAATAATCATGATAAAGTACTAATTAGTAAATAATAATTAATAAATAATAAAAATAATGAGGAAATAAATTAAATCCTTATACGAATCAAAAGCCATAAAGAAAGTTGGAACGGCCAAGTGGTATCATTTCTCCACTCAGTGTATTTCGACATTTTGACTTTCGACAGGAGTAAACCTGTCACCAAAAGATCCCGGTAATGCTGGAAAACCATCTGCACTTCTAGTAAATTCCCATGTGATTCCTTAAAAATTTCTTATCGTAATACCTACCAGCCATAATAAAAATGGTGAGCGATAACCACTGGTTAACCATAAAATAAAATATCTTTCACCAAGCAAAATTTTGAAAATGACGAAATGATAATAATGATAACAGTAATCAAATAATGATAAGTAGTAATAATATAACAATAATAATAAAAAAAATAAATATAGACAATAATAAAAACAATATTTTTTAATATCTCAATAATATTAAAAATAATAAAAATAACGATAATTTCATTAATAAAAAATATTTAATTCATTCCCGGTAATTCATTAAATAATTATAATACTAAATAATAATAATAAATCACTAAATAATAATAAAAATAATTAAGGAAATTCCTTCTTCCCTATAGATTAAAATTTTCTGGCGACAGGTGTCAAATATTTCCTTTATAACCAAAGCAAACATCTTTTGATTTACCGATCAATCGATTCCTTCTTGTTCCTTACGAACTCATTTTCACTGATTACTATCAAATTGATTAATCAATCAATCAATTAATTCAACTATATTCACTGATTATTATCAAAATCATTCAAAATTATAAAATTGTAGGCAAAAGAAATGAAGAGAAAAGAGGATATTTAAAGTGTCTTTTTTAGAAAAAGATCGAATAAAAATTGATTTCACAGATAACATCAGTAATTATAAATTATTATAAAGGTCGAGCCATTATAGGTTCGCTTTCTACGTCTTTTAATGGAAATAATCCCTACCATTAAAACTGAAATCCCCATGGGGACCCATTCGTATTTCTTTCCTCAAGTGATTCTCTGATGAAGCAGCAGCTTAATCCTGAAACCTACAGCCAACCATAAATGATGAATACTGTTAAAAGAAATTGAGAAGAAAAATGTGAGGATGCTGCAAGTGAATGCAGCTGAACGAGTTTTGATTAGTCTAGCAGTAGCATTTATAAGAAGTATTTATATAGTTCCATATTGCATTCATCTGATGATTATCAATGCTGAAATTCTTCTCTTCCGCTACTATTTACCTGTCTGCCAACTAGTGATATCTTTTCTTTTGTTATCTTTTCTTCAAATAGTGAGCAACAATAACGACGGAAAATGCTAAATGCTTATTTATTCTTCCTACAGCATGTAGCATTTTCAATTATGTTTAGAGGTATAAAAGAGAAATGAGAAAACAATTACAGGAATTTCATAACAAATTTGCTCATGCGGAATATGAGGAAAAAAATGCTTTTCAAAAAGGAAAAAAGATCGTTTTTCTAAAACTCTGCTTTTTTTAAAAGAAAATCCATTATAAAACAAAAACGACTAGCGCTCATTATTTCTGGTTAGGATCGTTTCACTTGCTGTTAGAACAGTTAGAAACTTAAACTTAAGCAAGAAGTCACTTGGCGACAGAATTATGAATTATGATGACAAATCACTCAGGTATTTTGCTTTCAACAAACAAGTAAAATTTTGCTAAGAGACTAGAACTAATTTTGCTAGACTAAAACCACTTAAAATCACTTAAAATCCTTTTTCACCAGAATTTGCCCATATTTCACTGAATCCCTATATGTTTTCCTATGACTATAATCCACCTATTTCTTTTTCTTTTAGTAGCCTGCACCATTGTTAGTTTGATCCCCTACTGGCTGCGATGTTTCAAGCTTATGATATGATGCTCCAAGCCACTTCTTTTTCCTAATACCATATATTCCTGCGCTCAATATCTTCTTGTTGACATCGCCCACCCTAAATCAGCGCAGAAGCTTTGTGATGATATATTCCTAATGTAAAAGATATTCCAGCGAAGGTGGATGCAATCTGCCCAGTGTGTAGGATATACCTTAGCCAGAAGTGGTCAAGGCAGATGGCTTCCTGAAAACTTACAGACTACCAAGTAGATTAATAACTATCTTGAGGCTATTTCGTGGCGATTCCAAAGATTTCGCCAGACAATCTGGTTGCACCAACCAAAGCTGGAATTTATGACCCATGAATGATAAATAATATTTACTTCAAAGTTTTAATAGCAATCAGTCGCTACAATGTCTATTTAAATATGCTAAAATGTGCTTCGAAGATATCTCGACTAAATTCTGATAAAAATTTGATAAAAATTTTCTGATGAAGATTCACAAAAATTTCAGAATTATGAAATCCTTAGACGACTTTATGAACGAGCCTGTATGTCTGATTTGTTGACACTTGCGCATGTACATGCATGAGTTTGTATTATATATATATTTGCATAAATGTATACAATATAGTATAGTATAATATAGTATAATATAATATAATATAATATAATATAATATAATATAATATAATATAATATAATATAATATAATATATATATGTATATATATATATATAATATGTATGTATTATGTGTGTGGCCTTTTCCGGTAATCCATTGTTATGTTAAATAAATTCAAATAAATAAAATTTTTATGACTTTTGCCAAACTTTTCTTTTTTCAAATTTGGAATAATTTAAATTCGTTCTGCAATATATATATATATGAAAATAATATTTTTAAAAAAAATTGATATAATTAATGCAAAAACAAAAAGTGACAAAAAAATTACTTTCATATGATAAAAATAAAATTATTAAATAAATTATTAAAAAACTATAATTAATTAAAAATTGTTTTGAAATTAAATGACAAAAAAAAACAAGGATATTATAAGAGAAAAGAAAAAAAGATTAAAAGAAATTTAAATAAATTTAAAAAAAACTTCATGGGTGGTAGATGATAAGTGCGATGAATGAATGAGATGAGATGAATGAATAGATTTGGTGATTCGGTGATTAAATTGGGTGAATAAATAAATAAATAAATAAATAATGGTTGTACTAAAGTAGTTATAGGAAAGGTTAGTTAGGGTTGTTGACCACCAAAAAAAATCGCTTTGCTCAGATTTATTCATTTTTATCATTGCCCTTTTTTTACAAAAAAACTTGAAAGATAAAAAATTTTAAAAAACTGAGACTATTTATTTTATATTTATTTTTATATTTATTTATTTTATATTTATCAATTATAGTATTAGTTATTAACTGATTTTCTCTTCATGAATTTCCGGTTATTCTGATCGCTGACTTGTAGGACCCCACAAATTTTCCCATTTGGTAATAGAAGTACAGATAAGTTGCCAAAATCACCAGGTTTTTTTGAATGACTCCTTATCGGAAGTCCTTAGAATATAACCATAGCACTGACGATCCAAAATGAGACAATAGCAACAGAATCAGCCATTCTATCCCACCATATTAATTTTTAAAAAATTGTAGAAAGCACTCACCACATAAAACATTTTTAGCGATTTCATTAATAATATCCCGAAAAATCGCAAGTGAAGGAAAACGTACAAGTAATTGTTCAATAAAATCAGTTACAGTTATACAATCGACATTCCAATCCAATTTTTCCAATATTAATAATTCCCATTTCTTAATTAATATTGCAATATAATTTTATCAGTTTTAGCAATTTTTTTCTGCAATCAACAGCCCGATCTCTTTATAGTGGCCAGACATTCTTAAGGTTACGACTGAATATTTCCGATCTTCGACGGCCATCCAGACTTCATTTTCAATGAATTGCTTATATCGATGGATATAAGCAAATGGATGGATGAAAGAGAAACAACTTGCACTCTACTTGCATTTATACTATCATAACCAAATATTTGGGAATGATTAATGAAAATATTATATTCACATAAAATCTAAAAAAATATTAAAGATTTCACAAATGAATAAAGTGAAAAAAAAATAATAGTGAAAAATAATAATGAAAGACTTACAAGAAGTTGTAATTGGTTAATACTATAATCAGTATAATAAATAATTTGTGATGGTGTTATAAAATTTGGATCACGTAATTTTGCAGCAATTGATAAGCAACCACTCGCCATTACTTGTAATTTGTTTAGTGATAATTTTTCAAGTGATAAAAAACGATCCATAATTGATATTGCAGCAAATAACGTTGGAATACCACTTAGTTCTTCATTACATACCTAAATATTTGATTAATCCAGAAAAAATTAAAAAAATAAGCAAGCTTGAAAAAAGCAAAATTTCAACTTTTTAAAAAAAATTACAATCTCAAAAAAATAAACCAAATTAATACATCAATAATCCAACGGATTGTTTGTTGTCGGGCTTTTACTGTTACTGTCTGTTGCAAATTTCGAAAATGAAATGCGTTTGCACGCGGCTGCACACGTTCAAGCTTTAATAGATAGCAAAAAGTATCATTTTCCTAGAAAAAAATCTGGTTTTCAATAAAAAAATCTTTCTTTGGATGGACAAATAATATAAATATATATAAATAAATATATACAATGCAAATGGTTGGCTCTCACCATTTCTGGTTCGTCAGGTTGGAATTTGTGTCATTTACCGATAGAAATATAGGTAGGCACGACTTGGATTTACTCCTGCGGGAAATGGACCAGAAAATACGATGCCCGGAAGAGAAGCAACTATATCATTTTCCATCATCCATAAGGGATATACATTAAATTTATGATAAGGAATTTATGATATATCATACATATATATGATATATATATGTATAAAATATTTATAGAATATGTATTTACAGAATTTACAGAATTTACATAAAACACATATCTAGAGAAATACCAAAAGTTGAAAGAAAAACTAAAAGATATGGAAAGCACAAAGGAATCGTGATGGTAAGAGCACTAGGGGATCTTTAAACTAGAAAAATAGCTTCAATAAATAGGTGCATATTCCAGGAAAAACACCAGAGACCTTTATCCAGAAGAGTGCACTACTAGAAGCAGCTAAGATACTGCAGAACCCTGAAACCCTCAGACTTCTGGTAAAGGAGGTGAAGTTGAGGATGACCCATACCACCAACAAAAAGTATACTTTGGCTGACTAAACACATTGAAGTCTTTTAATGTCAGGACAGTAGAGTGGTATGTTTCAACTAAGGTCATTACTGCTCCCCGATGAAAACAAATTTGCCAAAAACCCGAAGTCGAGATTTCATCTCCGAAGTGGCGAAAAAATCTAATATATTCACCAAACCAGAAACAGTGAGCCTCATAAGATGGGAAGAGGCATGGGAAGAGGCTTAAAAATGATCCTTTCGGCAAAGCATCATTTAATAATAAAGGTAGTGACAAAGATAGGACATCAGGCCACCACTCAGAAAATAATACAGACATTTCAAAAAAATTTTCCAAAATTTGAAAAAAAGAATTTACGAAATGAATAGTTTTATCAATTGATGGCATGACCGATGGGATTTGTTGTTTGTTGAGTATTTCAAGATTTTCTTTCAATCTTTCATTATTTTCCTTTTTTGGAATCTACAATTTTTCTTTAAAAAAACGCTTCAAAATATTTTAATTTATTTATAAAAGTTCCTAAAAAAAATTCTATAGAGAAAATGAATTTGAAAAAAAAACAAACCTGTCCCAGTACAAGTCGACGATTTTTATCATCTGATAAATAATTTTTAATAACATTATTACTCTTAATATTTGACAATTTTAAACAACTCCCTTGACCTTTGACACTCTCATTTCGTTTTAATACTGTTGGAGAATCAATGATTTCTTCATAACAAAGAAGAGAAGTTTTATTATCAGAAGGGTTTTCCATCGCTAAATAACCCTTTCCAATCCTTTGTTTATTTTAAATATTTTATTTTTTGCATTAAATAATATTGAAAAAGTGCTATAGAAATAATAATTTCTTGACGTGAAAAATCACGTAAACCACTTTTGGCGTTAAATATGTTTCGTTTCGGCGTGAAAAAACAGTACGTGCTCGCTTCTTTTCCAAACTCTTTATTCGAACGAATTTTCAAAATTTGACGTAATCAAAGGTATAAACTGATATGGAATTTTCAACAAAATTTTATTTATTTCTTTTCTCTTGAAGTCTGCAAAATTATTTTTTTATCCATCGTAGAAGAGCTTATAAAATTACTTCAACGTCTTACGGCAAAAATTTGATAAACGATAAATGTGAAAGATAAGTGTAAAAGACGGGACAATATAGGCTCCGATGTTTAGTACGATGGGTAGTGCGACATAATAAACCGAAATTATGAAGAGCACGGATCGCGGACAGTCGAAAACGAAGAAAAAATATTTGTGAAGCGAACAGTAAATATGTAAAAAAACAATTTCTTTAATGAAAAAAGTTTTTTACTCGAAATCGAATAATCCAAAAACCAAAAACGAGTGGAACCAAGAAGGGAGAGGAATGGAACCGAAGGCATGCAAGTACCCACACCAGCAAATTGCAAACAAGCAAGCAAGCGCTCATTTGATTAATAAACGGGGCGACAACGATAATGGTGAGGAGGGGGAGGAGGAAGGATTTTTATAATAAATTATTCGCTTATTCTCTTTTTCTTCATTACAATTATGTTTAGAAACACTTTTCTTCTTTTTTACATCCACTTTTTTTCTTTTATCTTCATTTTTTTATATTCCTTTTTTTTACATAAATTTTCTATTTTCCTAGGTTTACTTTCCTCTTCATTCCTTAACCATCTCCTCTTCTCCCCTTCACCACTTTCATTTCCTCCTCCATTCGTTCTTAATTCCTTGTTCTTGAATGAATGCGAAAAATTAGATAATTATACAAAAAATTTGATGAAATAAAAATTAAGAAGTAGCCATTCTCACCATTTTTGGTTAGGATAATTCTGCTGATTATTTAAGTTCGGTTAGAAATTTTTACCATAGAATCACTGCCTTCGCAACAGAAGAGGTAGGTCACCAACCGGGGAAATCTTACATCTTAACACGATAATTTGAACCAATCGACTGACTACTCTATCCCCCTTAACAAAATAGGCAAGGATGTATGATGCATTATTTTGATAATTTCGTTATATTTTATAAAGCAATTTTTTTCTTTTTTTAAAACTCATTGATTTGATTTCTTCCATCCATTTTATAATTTAAGAATCAAAAAAATTGTTGATGAAAACGATATTTCGACAAAAATAAGCAACAGATGTAAATATCTATAATTGTGTGATTGGAAGCAGAGGAGCGGCGAGTGGTCGCTATCACTAGAATTATCGCCTCGGGTTTCAGTGCTAAACTTAAATCTTTCCGAAAAACCCAGGCGACACTATTAATCTACTTATACCTCATCCTTAAACGACTCGCTGGCAAAATTCCTCGTCATACCAATAACCAATGGAATAAGCCTCACGAGTAATTACGAGCATCAACCAATTATTTGACTTTTTTCTGCTACCAACACCAGAAATAGAAAGACGAATGATTTCTGGGGATAAAAAAGATATTAAAAGAATTCCTAGGAAATGTGCTTAAAGAAGATTTACACAATAAACATCGTAAAATAACTCGCTCGGTTATCACTGGGCCATTAGAGAAATTAGCTGTTTTTAAAAATAATAGCAACAAAAAAGAATGAACTAGAAGAGATAGAAGAGTCGCACAGGCACCATCGCTGGTGTAGCTGTTCTTCGTCTGAAAATTAAATAAAATGCACAATGCACTAAGCAACAATTTCAAATATGATTTCAAATATTATATGATTTATAAATAGAGCCTCCCTCGGTGACCGAATTGCTTCTGGTAAAAGCGATATTGGCTTATTCCTTCTCCTCCAATAGAAGTAAACCTGCCATCAAAAATTCGAGTGGTAGATGAAGATCCAGCTGTGTACCTATTCCAACTGTGCACTCGCAAAAAAATTTCCTAGTTTAAAAATAATTGTAAAATAATTATTGAACTTACCACTTCGCCTTAGGTTTGCTCCATTGGATGGGTGATGATGGCGGCCAATCTATACCTCTATCTCCTAGTCCTCTAAGCGATTCCCTGGCAAAATTTCGCATTTTTGAAAATTTTTTTTTTAGTAATTTATTTTTTTTTCAGTCAGTTATGAAACTGTCAAATATTTCTAAATACGACGTTAAAGTTGTCAATAATTCTTTAAAAGTTCGAAAATTTTTGTCTTTCATCTGCTTTGATTATGGAGTTCAATGGCTAATATTCATAAATACTGTTTAACTGAAGTTTCGTTCTCAGTGGCTGAGTGGCATGTTGAATTCCACTTGAATCCGCGTTGACAACGATACACCTATCATTACAAATGGAATAGGGACGATTCGGAGATGCACTGATACTCTTATCGCCAAGTCATTCCTTGGTAAAGTGGGCTCATCATAATAGCCAAGCCAGAATTCTTAAAAGAGAAAATTCCATATTCACACCAAGTTTTACGGTAAGATAAAAGTAAATAACGAATATTCACTGCTAAAATTAAAAAATTATCGTAAAAAAAATAAGATAAGATAACGAAGTTGCTCATTCTACGGATTGGCAAAATTTTCTTCGAACCCCTCACAACTCACCCTATTCTCTTAACAATACTTCAAATCCTCCTGCTGCATCCGCGCCCACTAAATCCTCATAATCCCTCCTCTTAGTAATCTTCAGTTTATGGTTTAAAGAGACTTTAAGGCAACAAAATGGTGATGAATGTTTTCACTGGAGTTACAACTGGTAGGGAAATTAAAATGATAGAAAAAGAGAAAGAGATGACGTTGACAGATGGTCGGATAGAAAATAGGTATTATGAGTTGACAAAGGCGAATTCAACATGGCGGATTTCTCAGCAAGCATAACGTTTTTTTATAAAGTATTAGCAAAAGAAGGTACATCGAGATCCGCAGTATCGAAGTGCCATAGCGGGATCTGATGGAATTACACAGTATAAGTGAGTTTAAGAAGGCGTTATTGTCGAGTTTTGTCAAGAGAATATAGCGTGATTTGATGAGAAGTAAAGAGGATTAAAGGAATTTTGGATATACAAAACATTTTGAGAAAGATTAAGAAACACTGCACTGGTGCCTAGGTGAAGATAGCATAAAGCATTATGGTAATGTTACCTATAGATTTTGGAGCAAAGTATAAAGATTCGATGGAGTATTAAGCATGTAGCGGTTTCGAAGAGGAAGCTGAGACAGGTTTCGAGGAAAATGTTAGGAAAGAGTATCTGGAAGGTGTTTACTAAAATTTATAAGAATACTGTCAGTCAAAGCAAAAGACGGAAATGAGGATGGAATCCAAACGGAAACAACGAGATTTCGGAAGATATTCGCAGGATATTAGAGAATTGGAAAAAATTTTCGCAAAATTTGGTAGATCTTCAAGGGTTATTTTGTTCTTGGAAATAAATACAAATACAACTAAATATCAAACAATTACATAGAAGAAAAATGCAAATAATATTTCAATAATAATCGATAGAAACTAGTCTTAAGGAATCTACAATTTCTAGTAATTCTAAAACATAACAAAGAATTCACTTGGAATATCTGTGGTCACTTCTAATTCACAGACTCTTTTCTGGTCCCACTAATTACTAGGATGAGGTATTCAGACTTCCTTTCGATAGAGAATCAAATTACTTTTTGATGTTTAACATCTGCAGTTAAAAAATGTACCGAATTATGCATGGCTCTACGTTAAATTTCAATCTGATTATATCGAAAGAATTCGCTGACTGATTCCATAATGAGGTTTAGTTTTTAAATTAAAAATGGCAGCAGAAGGCCAAGTGACAATTGATGTTACTGCCGACTTCGGCATCAAAGTCCGTGCTCCTATAACAGAAGTAAAACTAAGAAATCCAGCTGACTGATAATCAATCTACTCGTACTTCCACCTTTCACCTTCAAGTGACTCTCTGGCAAAAATTTCTCATCACAATAAATCAATGAATGGATTGAACTAGAAGTGGTAACCATTTACTCTCCTTTCCTCTCTAATACGTATTGCATTTGTGTTTCTAATATTCAAAATTTTTTATCCACGAATATTTGCGCGTGGTGAATGCGGCGTTTCTTAATGGAATTTTTGCTTGATTTCACCTTTTTTTGTCATAACAATTTGCTCAACGATTTTCTTCGAACATTCCAGTTAAACATAAATTTATTCGATCATAATAACGAAGACTATTAATGCAGTAGAATGCACAATAACAGAAGGCACGGTAGGCGAGCGTTTGTTGCTACTGACAGATATTCGAACCGCTTTTCCAGTACGAGTAAATCTACCATTAAAAAATCCGAGCAATACAGGCCATCTGTATTACCATCTTCAAAGCACTCCCTCATGAAAAAATTTTCATGACCAGTGGGTTGAGTTTAAAAGAAATAATGAGCGTTAACCACTTTACACTGACTAACTAATGAATGATATAACTGATGTTATAACTTGACCGACTTGAACTAAAAAAATTATTCCATAAAAAATCCAGGAAAATAACCGTCGAAAGGTATGGTTCTTTAATACTCATAAATACTGTCTATGGAACAAAAAGAAGGAACATTTTGAGAACATCGGATATTCACGTGAGTGTGTCTCGAAAGCAAAGCTCAATAAATTTGAATAGAGGAGGGTGGGGAGGGGGTACGGAAGAGGATGTTCAAGGCAGGAACGAACTCAAAGGAGTTTGTTTTTCACCTCGGTCCCATAATCTGTCATTAAAAACAAATATCATTCTCATTATTCGGTCTTCAACCTAATAAGCAGCCAGCCAAACTAGAAATAATCAAGAGAGGAATAAAAATTAAATTGTTGAAAAGTTTAAGAAAAATGAAA